GGTCCTTATTTTATCTGCTCCTGATTTTTGGTGCTTAAAATGCTTGAATATTCTTCGTTGATTCCATATTTCACATGTCTCTTTTGGCATGCTTAAGAAGGAAATAAGCAATTTTAAAATAAATAGTGGTTTATTTTTTAAACAACTATAAATGCTGGTGGTTTTGCTGATTTTTTTTTTTTGTTTACCATTCTTATTGTTTAACAATCGTAACTGTTGAACAAGAAGATACAATTTTAATGATCACTCAATAAAGAGTTAGACTGCATTAGCTTTGTTTCTAAATGCTCACACTTTTAATATTGTCATATATCCGCATGGCCAATGAAAAAAAAAAAACTGAAGAAGACAAACAGTGACAATCTCGAAAATATTATTTTCATGTTAGTGTATGAAGAGTTTATATTGTACTTTTTATTAATATACGTTTTCGTGAAGAAATTGAAATTAAAAATAATTTTATACAACTCATATATTCCATAGTGCACTTTTTGATAAAATGTTTGCATTTGTATAGATTACACAAGATATAAGGTGTTCTTACAAACAGTTACTAGTATACAGCTCAGTTATATATACCCCGATTCTTCTCTGAATCTTGGTCGAGTTGGAAGTCTTTTTAATATACGGTGTATATGAACTATCAACAGGGCGTGCTTATCTTTCCTGGGCACCTGAACCCACCTCTAAAATTTTCAGGTCTCTGTGTTTATGCTCTCTTCACTATTTTTGTATTGTTTTAAAAAAATTGACATCGATCACTGATCGTAATTATGTTCCCCAAACGAAGTTGGGGAACATATTGTTTTTACTCTGTTTCTTATTAAGGTCTTCCGTTTCAACGGAAGACCTTCTTATTTTTCTGTTGTTTCTTTTCAACTTTTCTTATTATTATTATTCTTACCGATTTTGTGCACGCGATTTCTCGTAAATGTGTCGATGGATTTTCATGAAACTTTCAGCATTGATGACAAATGATATGAACTTAAGGCGTTTTTTTTTAATTTGATGACGTCACTTCCGGTTCGGAGTTTTTCGCGATTTAGTGAGTTTTAGAGGGTCATTTTGTCCGGCAGTTTTCTCAAAAAGCACTCAACGCAGAAGCATGAAATTTTCAGTGCTGATAGAGCAACCTTTGGAGATATGTATTTGTTATATCTCAACCACCGGAAGTACGAAGCGCCGACGCTGGCTATGGTCCGAAAACAGTCCTATTAAGAATTTCAAAATTTTTAACACCTTTTCTACGATAACTTTTTATCTAGAAATATTTTGTTAAAGCTTGTAGAACAAAAGAAGTGTAGAATCTAAAGATCTTTCAAACGATATCTCGAAAAAAGGGCTGGCCCCTAAAATTAAGGGCCAAGGGGGGCCGAAAGTTTTTCCTTTATATCTCAAAAAGTATTGAGAATTTGTAATACCTCAAAGAAGCAAAGTTGTTCAAAATGTCAAGGTTAATCTACTGTGTTCAAAATAATACGTCCGGCGTCGTAACTTCCGGCCAAACCGGAAGTAGTCTAAAATCGCGTTTTTTTGCCATTCTTGACAAGTTTTGGGGTAACATATGTCACTGGAAGCCTTAAACTTAATTTTCCGTCCGTTGTTGTCACTTCCGCCGGCGTCGTCACTTCCGGCCAAACCGGAAGTAGTCGAAAAACGCGTATTTTTGCCATTCTTGACAAGTTTTGGGGTAACATATGTCACTGGAAGCCTAAAACTTAATTTTCCGTCCGTTGTTGTCACTTCCGGTTTAACCGGAAGTAGCAAAAATTGCTTATTTCTGCATTAATCAACATAGCTTTAGATGATTCAAACCATTTTTAGGCGTTATTTCTTATTTTTGTTAAAAATTAAAGCTACTTCCGGTCAAACAGGACGGAAGACCTACTCGTTGCTTTGCAACGAGCTTTGCTCTAGTTATTATTATTTTTCTTCTTCTTCTTCCTGGGTACTTTTTTGTCCGGGAATGATCTTGTAAACTGTTCATCTGATGTAGGTAAAACCTTTTTAGGGTTAGTAGACATGTTTGTAGATTTGCATAGTCAAGGTCATTTTGCGCGCACGTGCTTGCAAGAGCGCGCACGTGCAACACGAGAAATGATCAATATAATTGATATAGACTTACTTTCTCAATTTTTGATGAAATGCGTTGAAACTCATATTGTAATGATATATTAGTAGCATAGACAAAATGACATGGTCAAAATAGCAAGATCTCACGCGCATGCACGTGCGCTTTGCTCTGATTGGCTGAAACTAAAGTCTCAATATCTTTCTTGTTTTTTGACGAAATCCTTTGAAATTTTGAACATAGTCATGTATTACGATATCTTACAACATTATATATAGCAATTATCATGAAAACACGTGTATGCACGTGCACTGCAATCTGATTGGCTGAAACTTTAAATAGCTATAACTCCGTTGGTTTTCAACCAAACAGGATGGGATTTGGAACATAGATATATATAATGGACTTCTACAAGAAGGTATGGTCACCATGCACATGCATACACGTGCGTGTACGTGCGCTGCAATCTGATTGGCTGAAACTTTAAACAGCTTTAACTCCCTTGGTTTTCAACCAAACAGGATTGGATTTGGAGCATAGAGATATATAATGGACTTCTACAAGAAGGCATGATCACCATGCACATGCATGCATGCATGTGCGTGTATGTGCGCTGCAATCTGATTGGCTGAAACTTTAAACAGCTATAACTTCCTTGGTTTTGAACCAAACGGGGTGTGATTTAGAACATAGATAGATGTATTGGACTTATACAAGAAGGTATGGTCACCATGCTCATGTATGCACTTGCGGGCACGTGAAATGGGTAAAATTAAAAATACACTTGAATGAGCGTTTTTTTTATACTTTTGGATTAAATACTTTAATATTTAGCATATTAAAATGTATAGATTGTGTAGACAATATGATATGGTCATTACGCACATGCATTCACATGCGCAAGTGTGCAATGATAAAATTTGAATGAAAATAGTACACTTTTGGGTAAACGTTGTTAAAGTCTCAAATTCATAGAGTTTGTTTTATTTTATTACGCTTACAGGGCATATGACTATAAAAGGGAGTTGGGGAGTGTTTGGGGAACATCTGTAACGGTCTCCGTTACAATTAGCACTAGTTCTCATATTTCTTATACATTTTTTAAAGATACCAAAAGAAAACTTTTCTTATCAATTAAGGATTCATAAAAAAGAATTAAACTCTCATAAACTGTCACTTATCTGTGAAAAAGTGAAGTTGCTATTCTTGAAAGATACTTGGCTAATCTAAGATGTAAATTTAAATGCAAAACGCGATCAATGCACACATGCAGCATAAGTGCTGCATAATTCATATCTATAACGTTTGGTTTTATATATATATATATACATGTACGAGGGGTGATCAAAAAGTTCGCGAACTAATTGAATAACTTCCATAAAATAAATAATATTTGGTTTCAATGTTGATTATATTTTAAAATAATCCTCTCTGATTTTCATGCACATCAACCACGGTTCTGCGCATGCGCGAATCGCGTGATATTGGGGACTCCCTCCGCAGCGTTCTGCCACAGAAGTTGAAAGATTTTTTTGGGCTTTATATTTTTTTCCATGTGAGTTAATTTTTATGACAAGAAGAGTTCATTTGTCAGAAATTGTCAAATCTCGGCAACAGAATGGGTGGATAAAAATATCCTTTCCAAAAATAAGCATGGCTACCATTAAACCACAAATCTTCTGTCTCGGGAGAGACCTTTATTCGAGGTGGATAGAGAATAGGTGCCTCCTTTTTATCATATCTAATATGTTTAAAATCTAAAGTAAATGATATCATAGGTATCTAATAATTATATTATTGTTCAAATATTCAACTATTTTTCAAAGTGTAAATTGGAGGTCTTTGATAGCAAATTGCTTAATTAAAAAATCACATATCTTTTCAAACTTGCTTTCACGGGGCAAGATGACAAGTATCATTTTTAACCATCTGCCTTCCTTCACTAAAACCATCAATCCAATCATTAATTAGATTTATAGGAACTCATTTGTCTTAATAAACTGTATACAAATTATCATATGATACTGCAGAGGGATTTCTAAGATATACAATAAATTGTACAGTTGTTTGTTGAACAAGTTCGACTGAGACAACCATTTTTCGTCACAAGTGACCTACATAGTGACGTCATTTTCACATTGTGACGTCACAATCAGGGAGAAAAACTTTATTCAGCATAAGCTATTTATAGACATTGTGTATGGCTATGTGTGTACCGAATTTCATTCTAATCTGAATTGTGGTTTTGTAGATATAGAGATAGTTCGCGAACTTTTTGATCACCCCTCGTATATACATGTAGCTCAATTATAGTCGAAACGCGCAATTTGATAGTATAGATAAAATAATGTTTATATCAAATATATGTAATCTGTGGTGCCTTTGTACCAATGAATTACACTAAAACAAGTTAGGTCGCCTGTCCTTAATTTTACGTTTTAAAGGCATTTTTGCTCGTGAAATAAATTTGTAAGTAAAAATGTAATCGGTACCAAGTCTTATTTGCCCTCCGTGGTCGTTGTAACTTAACGTGCTTTTCAAATATATTTATTCTAGATCTGTGAAACTTAAGATGTTTACCTGTTCACATATTAACCAAAGTGGTTAATAAATTGATCTTAATAGAAAACCGCAGTCACAACAATAAATAACAAACAAAAACCACCAATTTATCTTCAAACTGCCAAAGAAATAAGACAAAAACAGAAACTCTGTATTCTAAGATATTTTTCTTCCTTCTAATATGGCGGCTGCATATGAAATTATATTCTAAGTATATATTTCCTAAAATATATCTTTAATTGCTGCATTTTCATGGTGTCTGCAATGATTCCTTATATGCCTCTTCTCCAGCGAGGGTCGGTCCCACCCCCTATTGTTTTGAGCCGGCAGTCGTAAACATGCAGATAGCAGTGCGTCTTGATTTATCATTCCCTGTCATTCATTAGCCGCCGCGGGCATTGAAGAGACACGAAGTCAAAAAGACAGGAGGAAACACAAAAGACTTACCACAGAATGTGATTTTCTTTTACTGGATTTATTCTGAAATGTGATCAGTACCTCAATTTCTGATAATTTTGAACTGATTTGGACTTATTTAGCGTACGCGGAATGGTTTTTATTAGACCTCGCCTTCGTCATTAACCTGGTATGTCGGTATGTCTATTTTTGATTGTCCATCATCCGTCTCCATGGTTATGGTCCGATAACCTCTTTTTAACACGTGTGTCTGTGTTTTATATGATTTAGTTTTTTTATTAATATTTTAGTCATTTTCTTTTATCAAACTTGATTTGATTCTTAAAATTTAATTTTCCTTTTAAATTGTTAAATTTATAAACACAACAGCTTTTACTTTTCAATCTTAAAGGAAAAGAACTTATGTGGAGAATTTTTATATAGTTTATATGAAAATTATTATTCTATGTCATATGTGTGTTAGTGTGTTGATATATGTCTAGTAATCCTCCTTGCTAGGAATGTTATCTTGGATTAGAGTTTTTTGATACTTTAAGCGTTATTCTCCCCAATTAGTCCGATCCGATCATTATTACCACTAACTTCGTGACGCCTCATCATTATTCTCGTGTTAATTGCGTAATTCTTTAGCCCTATCTGCTGCTTGGACCATTCCGATGACACCTCGTTGTCGGTACACCGCAGCGATATTCTAAAATCACGACTCGCTTTTTCTTATACGACCAGTCTGTGAATTCGTTTGAGTTTATAAGTCTGCATGTTTCAAAACTGTTCAAAAGATCCCGGCGAAACCATTTCTCACATAAGGAATTATTACCTATTTTATTCGATAAGAAAATTGATAAATGTATAAAATCGGTTAACTAATTCCTGTTTACTTCCCGTGGGTCAAATATATTAAACAATGTATTTAAATCACAAATTCATATTTATTCTGATGGTTGATCAAAAATATGCATTTTTAGGCATGCCATGTTAATATTGAATTTATTTCCCCAAAAAAAACAAATTCGCTAATTGCAAATAATAATCAATTTCTACAGAGTTCATTAAAAGTTTAGCTTAAATTGAACTTATTTACCTTTAAAGATAAACAGAGAAGAAACTAAATTGCAGGACAAAGGCTACGATACGGTAAGGTCCAGAATAATGGGTTGCAGGCTTATAATAATCGGGCATCCATTGCTTTCTTCAAATACCTAACGGGAGAATTAGCTATAGTACAAAATCTATCGTTCTCTTGTGCTTTTTCATAATGTCGTAGTCAGCCTCATTCCTCACTCTTTAATAAAGACCAATTCTCACTCTAATTTACTAAAGTGAATGCATAATATTACATGTTCTTTTGGAATAATTTTTCCTGATTGACACATTAGTTTTTAAATTTTCTATTTTAGAATTCTTTAACGAATCTGATATTTTTCAGCTTGAAAATGAATGCATTGTGATCTAAGTGACGTCAGAGTAAAAATGTGCATTTGAGTTAAAAAAAAAACAAAACCCGTCGTGACCGGTCGGCAGGGGATGCTTACCCCTCCATTCCACCTGATCCCACCTCTGATGTTCTGTAGGTCCGTGTTTGCTCTGCTCCTATTTTGTATTGTTTTGCAGACTTTTGATCTCTTTTGTTCGTTATCTCCATTTGCTTCATTTCTGGTAGAGTAAAGCAGATGATTTTTTTTTTCCACTTTTAACATAGGTACACAAACTTATTTCACAACTTTGAAACTTTCTTTTATCAAAATGTCCAAAGTTAATGTTTTATTTAAATACAGTGTGACACCTTTTATTCTAACAAATTTCTACAATTTGCAAGCTGTTCACTGTACTTTTGAATGAAATATGTGGAGATATCTGAATCTTATTCTTATTATGAAAGATTTTCATCTTGATGTCATTGGCAATCATCTTTCTTCATGTGTTATTTTCTTCGATTCTTTGATTCTAGGCTTTTTCTACTCAATTAAATAGTATTACGTATAATATTCTCGTAAAGTATTCGACGTTTTTAACTATCTTTGCATTTTTTATTTGAAAAGATGAAAAATTATGTCATAAAATGTAAAACAGCGTTTAAACTACGATAGACTGCGGTTTACGTGTTGAGTTAGCTGAATGCGTTATTTAGTTTTTGGATCGTGGTTAATGCCAATGTTCTGAGTAATTTTGTAAAGGATCTCTTTTGCACTGGAATTATCATGAAGGTCATTAGTGCAGGCTACAGAATGGCATGCATATATAGTTTATTGAGTGCTCGGCAGTTTTTTTTTTTTTTGTAAACACTAAAAACGATATTTCCACATTGTGTCATATGGTCTAGCGGTCAGTCTACTGGAAACTGTGGTTTACATAACATTATACAATTATTGCTGTGTTTTGAGGTCAATACAATGAATTAGCCATCTGAGGAGTACAATATTCACCGAGCCCGGAGGGCGAGGTGAATATTGTACTTCGAAGATGGCTAAATCATTGTATTGATATAATTGTTTTATTATATGATTCACTAATAAAATGATAAAACCCATTACTTGTTTGCATTTAATTAAGTCCTATCCAAATACAATGAGAGAAGCAGAATTAAAATGTTAATCAACCTTACAGGTCGTATTAATTTTTTTAAAAGTTTTTTTTAATCAATTTTAGTTGCCATGAAAAAAAAAATTATGTCAGTCTTTTTTCTAGGATAGATTTTTAAAGGAAGGAGCATCATCAGGGAAAACTGACTGCCATAAAGTAAAAATTGTTGTTCAGTGAAAGTGTTGGAGGAGTGTCCCTGTATCCCCTCTTACCACCCTCCTCCGAAAATATACCGGTATATTCGCTTATGTTTTCATCAAATGAAAAAAAAAAATTATACTTGTTTAAATGGCTTTCCAAATCAATTTTTATCAATTTGGAATATCTCGATCTATTTTTAGATCAACGTAAAGGAAATAAATCCTTGTATTGACCTGGAACGTCACGTGCAGGTCAATACAACGTAGTATTTTTCTAACATAGTTGGATCTCAGCCAATCAGAGAGATGGAAATTATTCAATCATATAATAATGTGCATTGATCGATTTGAAGTATACACCAGAACTGTCTGAGTTAGTGATAGATTTAAGCTACACCATAATACACACTAGTGAATGGCAGACCTCAATATGCACTTGTGTTCCATGCCATATTCAAAATTTCGAGTACAGTTTAAGCTTTAAGTCAGAATGGACTGTAAAGATTTATTATATTGAATAACTAACGCACAGTCCTCATAATGAAATATGTGGAGATAACAAACAGTATTTAAGCTCAAAAGTCCGTTTAACATTACAAAATAGGAGCAGAGCAAACACGGACCTCTGAAAGATCAGACGTAGGATCAAGTGTCATGGATGATTGAGCATCCCCTGCCGACCAGTCACACCCGCATTGTGCTCCTTGTCTTGATCGGGAAATAACGGGAAAATCAATCGTCAACTAGTGTGTAAATAATGGTCTAACAATTGGTATGAAAAATGTAAGTCAGTATTTGACTTAATGATATGTAGTATTTGCGGACAAGGTCATTATATCGACCAAAAAACTTTCGAATTGATGACTTTAAATGAGACTGCTAATTTTCTTGTTTCAATATCTCCATTTTAAAACAATAACCCAAAATAGTACGAGTAATTTACTCTTACTTATGCAGTTTATTATTCACAACAGGGGATGCTGATTCTATCTTTGGACGTTAGTCCTTTATATATACACTGAATTGACGACGGGGTTTTCTGTTATTTCCCGATCATGGCAAGAAGCACACGGTCAATGTGACCGGTCGGAAGGGGATGCTTACTCCTCCATGGCACCTGATCCCACCTTTGATGTTTTGGAGGTCCGTGTTTCCTCTGCTCCTATTTTGTATTGTTTTATAGACTTTGATATTGAATACTATTCGTTATCTCCATATCCTTCATTGGTACTACCTAAGATCCGCATTTTATGCCCTGTTCACAGACTTGTATTAGATTTAGATTGTTTGATATCGATCACTGTTCGTTATCCCTTCCAGGATAAATCAGTTTATGATTAGTTCACCATTCACATATGATTTCATACTTTATATCACTCATTTATTATCTATCAAACAAATTTTGTCTAATAGCAGGTATTCATTGATTTCTTGTTAATATAGTTTTTATGTCCAATTTTTGCAAATATTTAAAAACACCCACTCAGAAGAAATTGAATATGTGTAGAATCCCTGCTAAAATGTGTATTTAAAAAAAATCTGGTTGGATAGACAAAAACAAAAGCTTCAAGATTGTATTTCAAAGACTTAACAATACACTAAACCAATCAAGAACCATAAAGGGTATTTGAGGCAAACAAAATGCAAAAAGCAGACTAGCTTTTTATGACACGATATGCTGAAGAATAAACTCTAAAGTCTATTCTCAGTTATAATGCTGACATACATATCAGCTAAAAGAAATCCATACAAGATGTTTTTATGATTGACATTAATTACTTGAAACCGTATAAATATAAACCTTTTGAGCATATGAATTACAAAAATAACTTCATAATAATGATTTCAAAAGTACAAAGGGAATTGAAGTTTAACTGTAAGATTCTTATTTTGACATTGTAAGACAGTGAAATGCATAAAGCACTAGTAAATATTAAATATTTATGCTTAACCTTACATATAAACATAACAAATAAAATTTTTATCAAATGAAAAAAGTTAAAATATCAAACAGTGAACATTCTTAAATACTTATAAGGGGGTGCCTAAAAAGTAATCGAAAAAGATATTTTTAAAAATGATATTCTGGAGAATAAAACACTTTAAATAATTGAAATATAAACAAATGTGACAACAGTTCTTAACCTTCTATTTGCATCAAATAACATTACAAGTTGACTTAAGCTTATTATGTCCCTGGTTAATGAAAAATGTGAAGATAAGCTGATCAAACTCAAATAAATTTACATAGAATATAAAACTCTAATAAAGGGCAAATAAACGCGGACCTTTGAAAATTCCAGAGATGGGTTCTGGTGCAAAGGGAGATTATGCCTACCTTGTTAGTCTGTCTCATACCCACCGTGAACCTATGCATTGATTAGGCACACGGAACAACCCGTTATCAGATTCAGTAAAAATTGGGGTCTAACCATTGGTATGAAAAACTTCAGCCAACATAACGACCTAATAAAAAGATTTTTTTTAAAACTACCTAAAACTTATGAAATGCTGACTTAAAACGATTTTTTAAAAACTTCTTTAAATCAACTTTTCTATACAATTCCAAATAATATTGTCACCATTAACACTCGAACAATGAAATATATGGAGATATAATGAAGAGTATTCAAGCTCAAAAGTCCATTAAACAATTTAAGTTTTGGAGCAGAGCAAACTCAGATTTCTAAAACATCAGATCTGAGATGTGATCATGTGCCATGGAAGAGTGAGCACCCACTGCTGATCGGTCACACCCTCCGTGGGCCATGTGTCATTGTCGGAAAAATCCGTCGACAATTCAGTGTGTAAATAATGGTCTAATAATTGGTATGAAAACTACATGTATTAGTCACCTTTCGATTTAATGATGAATTGTTTTTACTGACAAGGTCACTGTATAAACCATAGAACGCGCGAAATATTGACTTTTATTTAACGTGCTGTCATTCTTTTTTCAATAGTTGACATTATTTAAAACATTGTTGAAATATAGAGTTTGATTTAGCGTATCAATCCCCTAGATAAGCAGGAAATAGGGTATGCTGCTATTAGAATCGAAGTTGGCAATATAAAATTAAATCATCACATTTGTTATAAAGTTTTGTTTTAGGTTAGTATTAACATCTCATTTGGAAAAATGTTCAACTAATTAACAGTTTTTCATGTGTGTTTCAGGGTTTACATTCATGAAAAAGATGTGTAAACCCTTTGAGATCTATTATTTTAAATTTTCTCTGAAATTTATCGAGTTAAGATCAAGATCTAGTAAATGTGCCGAAAGATTTTTTTTAATTTGAAAAACGGATTCTTTTAATGATCCTTTACAAATATAGCTTGGTAAAATAAGGTGTTTTGGGACATACGTTTTTGATAAACTAGACGAAAAAACATATTTTCAACTGTAATTTTAAA